CTTACAAAAAAAAAAAAAAATAGCAGAAGTAAACACAAAGAAATGGAAATATATTCTCAATCCCTATTAAAGTTTCAGTGGCATTCTTCAAAAAGTAGACCAAACATTACTGAAATTTATATGGAAGCACAATAAACCACAACCTGCCAAAGTAAGTATTTGACAAAAAAAGGAAGAACAGAATATAACATTTCAGACTTCAAACTGTACAGCAAAGTTATAGTAATCAAAATAGTATAGACATAAAACTACACACATATAACATTGGAACATAAGAGCAAAGAAATAAACTCACACTAAATATGAACAGATAATCTATGATAAAGAAGCTAAGATTATTTATTAGAAAAAGAAAAGTCTCCTTAAAAATGGTGTCAGAAAAACTGAACAACCACATACAAAGGAATGAAACTAGACCACTATTGCATACTACATAAAAATATTAACTCAAAATACATTAAAAAGTTGGACCTAAGACCCAAAATACATATATAAAATACATAGAAGAAAATATAGACAAAACACTTCATGACATCAGCCTCAATGATGTATTTCAGGACACAGCTCCATTGGCAAGGAAAACAAAAGCTAAGTAAACAAATGGAACTACAGCAAACTAATGCTCCTGCACACCAAAAGAAACTATCATTAAAATGAAAAGAAACCTAACTGAATGGAAGATAATATTTGCATGTCATATATCTGACAAGGAGCTAATACCCAAGATCTACAAAGAACTCAAGCCAACTCAATTAAAAAAAAATCAAAAAATAGGCAAAAAACCTAAATAGACACTTCTCCAAAGAAGACATACAGATGGCCAACAAGCACATGAAAAAAATGCTCATCCTCACTTATCATGTGGGACATGCAAATTAAAACCACAATGATACCATCTCACATCTGAGTGAATAGGCCATATCAAAAAGTCCAGAAACAGTAAGTGTTGGTGAGTACGTGGAAGGCAAGGAATCTTCATATACTGTTGGTTGGAATGTAGATTAGCCCAGCCTGTATGGAAAACAGTGTGGATGTTTCTCACACTATTAAGATTAAATCTACCATATGATCCAGCAACTCTACTTCTAGGTATCTACTACCTGACGAATACAAAAACACTAATTTGAAGGAACATATGCACTCCTATGTTCTTTGTAGCACTATGTACTACAGCCAAGTCATGGAAACAACAGATGACTGGATTAAGATTTGGACAAATATGTGTGTGCACAAATACACACACACACACACATGATGAACTCTTGACATTTGGGACAAGATGAATGAAACTGATGGGAATTATGCTAAGCAGTAAGTCAGAATGAGAAAGAAAAATACTGAATTAATTCACTTCTATGGGGAATATATAGATATAAAACAAAGAGTCAGAGAATATCAAACTAAAATCAAACTCTAGAAATCTGATAGGAAAACTGAGACTGCTGGGGGTGGGGTGTGACAACGATGGGGAACAGGGAGAAGCAGCAGGTGGGGCACAGCGGACTGTGGAGGAAGTCTATGATGGCCTTTTTGGTGGGTTTGGGGTGGGAGCATCCTGAAAAGGTGGGATCCTACATTTCTGAATCATATACAGTATAGTAAACCTCAATAAATAATAATGTCACCTTAGTAAAAAAAAAAATCATTACAATATTTTTAAAGAAAAGCTAAAAAAAAAAGAATGCTTGCATCTACGTTCATGGGGATTACTAATCTTTAACTTTCTTCTTATGATCCTTGACTTTTTTCCATCAGTGTAATACAAACTTCATAGAATGAGTGTTGTTCCACTGATCACAAGGTCCCCAGCTGCGCTTACTTCTTTTCTCTACCTTTCAGAACATCTCACTTATGTTTGTTTTACATATAATGTCAAGGGTCTTTACCTTTACTTAATAGGTAGAATTAAATTTATTTTATCTTGCACCAGAAGCAGAATATTTCCATGACTTTAATTCAACAAAATACTTAATTTTCAGTTATTCCTTATCTTATCCATTATGTCACTTTTTCCAAGTCAGTAAAGGTCAATCCTGTTATCCTTCCCTTTCACAATTCTCCTCCAAAACACCCAGCTTCATAAAATGTAACTACAAACTTTAACTGAAAATTTCAAAGTTCAAATTCTGAAACACTAAACTGAAGGCAATGATTATTTCTGTGACAATGACTTGAACATATTATCAATATTTGCTATTTCTTAATAGTAAGACTGTTTGCTCTAGTTGCTGTCAGTCCCTTCAAAGTTTGCTTTGGTTGCAAAGAGCCTACTAGTCAAAAGCCACATCCTTTAGGAGGAGCCCATATACAATGACTGGCTGAGGCAGATGCATAAATGTTTGCCATGTGACCCAACAGGGACAGCTCTGAAAGATCATTTCTGCTCTACAGTTCCCTGTTAGATGAACTGAGACTGTTGGGACAGCATGACTTCTCTCTAATAAATCATGTTTCAATTCCTTCCCTCCTACAAGTGTCAATTACAAAAGAAAACTGTAATAACTATACTACACTCTAAACTCAAGTCCAGTGTGTACTACCTGGAAATTCTAACTGCTGACAGTAGGCAAATGAGTCTTAGGGAAATTCAAAAGTAAAGACTGAAGTTACTGAATATAATGAGAACTGGCATATATGCCAGAGTGACAGAGCTTCCAGATAATTTTTAAACAGGATATTATTATACAGTTTTTACCTCCAATAGGTAGGAAAGGCCTGAACATAAGTAGGGCATAATCAAGAGTACTTCAGCTTTATCTGTAATGTTTCACTTTTTTTTTTTTTGTTTTACAAAAAAGGCATCTGAATATCACTTGTGCAGTTATTCCATAGACAAATAAAAAAAAAAACTGAAAGCAAAAAATGTTACTAACTCTAGATGATGGAATACATTATTAACTTCTTCTTTATGTTTTGCCATATTTTTCAAACTTTGTAAAATTAAGAAATAATTATTTCCTTTCACTACAATTTTATCAATCATCCTAGGAACTTTTTTGCTTTTCCTTATGTTTATTTCTTTCCAGGTTGCTACAAATGCTCACTCCTCTTAGTGTAATGAGGGAGTATCCCCATCAGACAGGTTGCTATCAAGTAGTTTCTAAAAACTAACTTCTCATTATCCTTTTATGGATCTTATTAATCTCCAGGGTTAGTACTCAGCAATACACATTCTAGACATTAAAATATGGAAATAATTATACACCAATAAGTTCCGCTTCCCTGAAACCTTCAAGTGTCCATCAAACCACTCAGTATGATCCAGCACAGCACAGAAACTCACCCCAAAATTTACGTGTAATCTTAGTATTCACCTTATCATACCAGTTATTAGTTTTTTTTTTAATTTAGCAGAACAGTTTTGCTATAATATAGTAGTTAGTTTACTGAATTTTTGCTGGCACCCAGGTGCTATCCATAGAAGAAATGTCCAGTTACACAATAGGACAGCCAAGTGGAAATTCCACCCACCATCTGTCAGATTTTGTCTCATGATGTTCCTATTTGTGAGACATTCATGTTTATGTAGCTGCATCTGTTTAGCAGAAACCAGGTGAAATATGAAACTGCCTTCACCTGAGTCTGAGAAATGGGTGTAACATTTAGTTTCCCAGTCTCCAGTAATCAGGAAAGCATATGAGAAAGAGATTAGAGTGGTCATTAATGTGTCATTTCCCAGTATTTGCTACAGTGATCAAAGAGTTATTTCTGGTAGAGGGCAAGAACCACTGTTGCTGAAGCATATGAACTGTTTTTTTAATACGTTATTCTCTTGATAAATTTATTCTTTTGTTATTTGTAGTTTTTTTTAATTGAGATAACATTGGTTTACAACAATATATATGATTTAGTGGTATAGGTTCACACCTCTTCAGATGTATGTTACCACACCACACTACCAGCTAAGCACCCGTAATCCTCCAACATAGTCCACTGAACTACCTCTCCCCTATACTCCTCACCCTACCTCCCTGTTTGGTAGCCTCAAATCTGCAGTCAGATTTCAAGGATTTATTTTGTTTTAGTTTTCTTTATTCCTTTGTTTTGTTTCTTTATACTGAATATATAAGGGAAATCATGTGGTATTATGATATTTCACTTAGCATAATCCCTCCATTTCCATCCATGTTATCCCAAATAGCAAGATTTCATCTTTTTTTCTATCTAGTAATATTTTATTATATTTATATATGTGTATATATGCATGGATGTGTATACACACACACACACACACCATATCCTCTTAACCCATTCATCTTTAGGCACTTAAGTTGTTTCCATAACTTAGCTATTGTAAATAGTGCTGCAATGGACACAGAAGTATATACATGTCTCTGAATTTGTGATCTTGTATTATGGAGATAGATACCAAGTAGTGGCAAATCTATTTTTAACATTTTGAGAGAACCCCATACCATTTTCCATAGAGGCTGAACCAGTCTATATTCCCACCAAGAGTTTCCAGCAAATCTTTCCCTCAAACCTGGCACCAACATGAAATTGCTAACAATACATGCAATATATTTTACTGTCATTCTTTAATAATACACAACAAAATATAGACTTTACTGCATAACCATCAGTAAAAATGATTCTGAAAGAGTATATTAAAAACTCCTGCTGACTTTTCCTTGGAATGGGAAACAGATACATACAAAATGATCATAACAAGCAATGTCAAGTTGAAAATAGATCATTACAAAATTTCTTCCTATAAAAAGAAACTGGTCTCCAGACATCCTTCTAACAAAAATGCATATGCTCCACATTACAAGGGTTTCCATTTGGTTTCATCTATTATTAAATTATTTTCACAAATTATAACATTTATCATAACTACATCATAATTGTAAATTGCTGGATGTGTCTTAGAGCTTAAAAGATAATGCTACCATAAAATGTTACTAATTGATATTTAAGAATATATGAACTCTGTAACTTCAGTTTTCTAAAAATATTTCTAAAATAGTATTTAAATAGTCTAATAATTAGAATCTTACCTCAGCTCTTTTCAGCATTTCCCATTTATTCAATATTTTCATGGCAAATACTTTATCTGCATTTTTTAGTTTCACTACAGCAACCTAGAAAAAGAAATACAACTTTTAAAATATGACAAATAATATTTTCTGCAGTCATCCATTTTCCTTTTTCCTCTCTGTAAAAAAATAAATACCAAAATTATCAATTATTCCATGCAGTTCAAATTCTAAGGTCCTAAATCAAATAATTGTCAGCTGAAAAAGTTGTATTAGTGAACATGTGCCAAACAAATAACTGTATTTTGTAAACACTGTAACAGTTGGTGCTTATATATTATATCCACCTTTTCAAGCTTTCTGCCCTAGAATTTAAACTCAACATCTACTGTCATTAAAAAAAAAAAAAAAAAAAAAAAAGGACCAAAATGCTCAACATGAAATAACAGAACTTAAGTAATGCATGCCAAATTCTAGCACGATGCTATAGGGAATGCCAGCTGCCAAAATAAATATTTTGTGGGGATCAAACAATATGAAATAAAATAATATTACTTTTCATATAACGCAGACTTACACATTACACTTTAAACCCAAACACACACACACACACACACACACACACCCTAAAGAACAATTAAGACTAACAACTCAACAAATTGTAGGGTTTAACCATTTCTTTGTAACAAAAAAAGGAAACAGATATTTCTCTAACTTTTATTTAGTTATGTGTCAAAACAACTTTCAAATACAAATAAAAAAGGCCCTATTGTTACCCTCAACAAACTGATTACACTGTTTCTATTTCTTAGTTTCAATTTGACTAAATGTCTAAGGGCCCCTCCAGCTTGCTGGGGATGCTACCGGACTGAGCTTCAACTACAGAAGAGAAGACAAAGGTTCAAGGAATGGGGAGGCATAAGGGAGGGGAAAGCCAAATAGTCCCAAAGGAGAAAACAAAGTATATACAGCATATCGCAAAACAGTTAAAAGGGCTATTTCCAAGGTAACAGAGTAGGTTTATATGCAACTGGCAAAAATTTTTTATGATGGTGGGAACAAGGGAAATACTCCATTTCAAATACAACCAATTGGTCCTTTAGTCATATCTGGTCATATATGTTAAACTGTTCTTCCAGTGTGCTCAAGTATAAGAAAGGGGGCTATACAGACATAGAAACAACTTAAATGCCCATCGACAGATGAATGGCATGCATATGAATATGCATAACTATGTATGTTTGTGTGTATGTGTGTCTATGTATGTATGTATGTGTGGAAATTCTGCTTTTGCAAAAAACTGAATGAACCTCAATGACATTATGCAAAGTGAAATAAGCCAGAGAAATACAAATATTGTATGATCTCACTTATATGCAGACTCTGAAGAGTAGGACTCAGAAGCCGAGTAGAATGGTATTTGTCAGGGCCTGGGAGGAGAGAGGAAAGGGGAGGTACTGCTCAAAGGGTACAAACTTCCAGTTACAAGATGAAAGTTCTGGGATCTAATATGCATGGTGACTTTAACACTCTATTATATATTTGAAAGTTGCTAAGAGAGATTTTAAATGTTATCACCACCGTAGTAATCATGCGAGGTAACGGAGGTGTTAATTTTACTGTGCAAATGATTTGGGGCCTCCCTGGTGGCGCAGCGGTTGAGCACTGGGTTGCGAGGCTGCCCTCAGCCTCTGCAGGGCCAGTTTGATCCCAGGCCACCGGGCGAGGGACCCACATGGAGCAACAGACCTCTCCTGCCGCTGGCTGCTCCCCTCAGCAGTGTACTTCGTCAGTCTGCCTATTCTGCTCCCCACTCTGGCTCTGGTGAATTCTCTCACTCTCCTGCACTTCTGACTGTGCCCAGTGCTTGTATAAATAGGTAAATAAATCTTTAAAAAAATGATTTGCACAATATATACATGAATCAAATAATCACTTTGTACACCTTAAACTGACACAATGCTCTATCAATTATATTTCAATAAAGCTAGGAAAATTGAAGGGGCAGTAATGAAGAACAAGGAAAAACTTGAAACACTGTTTCACTAAGATTTCAAAGGCTGAAAACACAAATTTAACTACTGTGTAGACTTAAATTGCACATATGTTGTATAATTAGGATTTAGGTTAGAAGGACAGGAGCAAAATTATAGACATGCACACATTTAAGGGAGGGAAGACATGTAAGGAATTATCACTTAAATTCACTCATTCTGCTTTAGGGAAGAATAACTGAAAGACCCAACACTTAGATATCTTCCCCTCCTCAGGTCATTATGTGAGAAAAGTACCACCAGTACATTATATGAGAAAAGATCCACCAGCTTTCTATGTGCATGAGTATACAAATGATAACTAATAGTAGTTGGGGGCAGGGTAGAAAGAGAAACAGTAGTATCCGACACATACTGAAAGTGATCTAAAGGCCAGGTATTCTACTAAAAATCTATAATCCCTTAATTCACCATTTTAAAAATCAAAAGGTTTCACAATCCATTTGGCAACATGTACTAATATCAAGCTAATTATAGCTTTTAGTTTCTGCTTTTTAAAATCTGATTATTTTAATTTAACTACATCACTTAATGAAAAGACAAACAAACATGCTTCACTGGAGAAACTCTAATGCACTTGTTTATAGGATGCTATTCCAAATCCCCATAGGATTTTTAGTTTCAAAAAAAAAAAAATATTGGAAGCAAAATGACCTCTGGATTATAGAGCTGTCAAGTAGAGATAAATAATCATTTATTGTGGGTTTTCTGGGGAGTGGGGAAACCTGCAGCCAGACTTGGGTTTTAGTCCTGGCTGTGTCATTAACAGTATTCTCTGGGCAGATAACCTAAACTTTCAAAACTTCAGTTTTCCATCAATATAACAAAGTTTAAAAGGCCTTATATAATGATAATACAGATTTAAATAATTGATATAAGTATAAAGTGCATACAACAGGGTCTAGAACTTAGTGAGTGCTCAAAAAGCAGTATTACAGTATGCCAAGCATGGCACTGGGAAGATTATAGACCAATCTCTCTTTTTTTTTTTTAACATTCATTTTATATATACAAGAGCTGGGGTATAGGCCAGAGGTGTGGGAGGGTGAGAGAATTCACCAGAGACAGAGCGGGGAGCAGAACAGGCAGACAGACCAAAAACACTGCTGAGGGGAGCAGCGGGCAAGACAGGAGAGGTCTGCTTTGCCATGTGGGTTGCTCCCTGGCCGGCCAGGGATCGAACTCATGCTGCAGAGGCTGCGGACAGCTTCACAGCGCTGTGCTCAACCCGCTGAGCCACCAGGGAGGCCCTATAGTCCCACCTCTCAACTAACTTGTTCTATCACTAATATGCAATAGATAGTATACCTCTAAATTTTCTAACTACAAAATAAAAACTTTGAGCTCTTCACCTTCTAACTTCTATAATTTTATATTCATAATACATATATATACATAAAAACATATAACTAGAAATATCTTCAAATGAAAACATATACACACAAAAACTAAACTACAGTATTTACCGTAGTGTAGTTTCCAATAGTAAAATATTGAAAATAAATATTCTGGAAGATAAAATTGACTATCACAAAACAATAGAAAACTACAGAAATTCTTTGTTAAAGTAGCTATTAGTAGGGAAAAGTTCACAAAATCTACTTAAAAGAAATTTATCAAAATTGCATGCTATGATTATTTTACTATATACTTATATATTTCTGTGCCATTTCAATTGAGAAAGGCATAAAAATAACACAAAATCAGGTATTTCTAGACAATATGATTTCCACTCATTCTTCTACATTTTTTATACGGGACATGGAAATTTTAAGGATGGGATGACAGAGTGTGGAAATCCAAATCTAGTCTTGGTTATGAAATGACCACTAATTATTAAGACACTGTAATGTGGGTCAAAAACAAGGATGATTCTACAGCAGCATGGTGGTCAGAAACGCCATGCTGCTGCAGGGTGACAGACATTCTCAGAAGTATGTTCTAACAATCTCATGTGCTGCCTAAGATCTCTTTGGAATGAGGTGGGGTATAGTTAATAAAAATATATTCTGTTCTTAAAATTTGCTGAGAGACTGAAATGTGAGTTCAGGAAATATTCATGAGTGATCAAATTGATGGCATGACAAAACGGGAATATGAAGCTGATGAGGTAATAAAATAAAACAAATAGATCTTGTTCTATTCCTTTACCATTACAAATCATAGTCATGTTCACTTCAGTAGACGAAAGCTAAAAACAAGAGGATTCTCCTAGGACTCAAACTTCAGAGCCTAGATTTTCAAAGACTAGGTCTATTTGATATATGAGAGAGAGTACTATGTTAAAATGTCCTTTCATGTTTAATGTGATCAAAATGAAAAGTACATTTAGTATAGACTAGAAGACTATAAATTTAACAGGACAAAGATACATTTTTAAGCACTAAATATAAATATTTCTTAAATACATCACATTAAAAGCAGTATGGTACCAAAAAATTATAAACACTACAGAAATAACAAACATAAACTCATGAGTTCTTAAACATAATTTTAGTATCATATGAAATTTATAGTTAAAACAACTATGCTCACATGACAATAAATATTTCAATATCACAGTCACAACTACCTTGCAGCTCTACAAATCTAGTCTACATTCAACATAATCCCAAATTCACTGCATCTCCTCCGCTTTATCCCATTCCAAGCTATCACTGTATCTTAGATAGACCACAATATTTGGCCTCTCTACTACTGCCGTACCCCACCCCCACAACCTTGTCCCAAGACGACAGCCACAGTGATCCTGTTTAAACAAGTTCAGATCATGACATTCCTCTGCTCCAAAATATCCAATGGTTTCCAATCTCTCTCCAAGTAAATGTCAAAATCCCTTCTATAACTTATAAGGCCTACATATGTTGGCCCTCCAACCTCCCAGACGACATTCTACTCTCTTCCCAGCACACTCTGCTCCAGACATATTGGGTACTTTGTTTACCCAACTCAGGGCCTTTGCACTTGTTTCCTAAAGTGCCAAATACTCTTCCCAACATAAAGCCAAATGGGTTGCTCTCACCTCCTCACTGAAATGTCACTTTTTAACCC